GGAAGAAGAGCCCCGGGCCGGGGGTATTCAGTGTGCATGACATGTCCTCGGTAGGAAAGAACCGAGCCGTCGAAGAGCAAGGAAAGGAAGTGATAGGTAAAGTCGACACGGTGCACGCGCGCTGGGGTCTGAATTACCAATTTCCTGTTGCCATCGCGGTTTCCGGCATGGATGGTCTAGGTAGGGACAGGGAGGAGATGGGTATATACTGCATACCTGGATACAGGTGCATTACCCATGTCCCTCTCTATACACCTACGTGGCACACACGCGTGAAAACCGATCATCAGACGAGATAGGTGGAGAATACCTCTTTCAAGAAGTATACATTGTTCTACCTATCTACTTGTTACCTATGCAGCTCTCTGTCGAGCCAGGGTCGTGGTCATGGTTCTGTTCGCCACGCCAAAACAAGTACGCTCCCACTTCATCATCAGAGACAGCCAGGCCACTTTTGAACCGGCTTAAGCAAAAGACTCGAGATGATCGGATCGGATCACGTCTTGCATGATGGTGGAGACTATATCCAGCGAGCAGGAGTCTCGTGGACCTGCACGGGACCCGAATACGAAACGGCCCGTGTCCTGCCTGTCCTCCGGTCATAGCAGGACAGGAGTCTGGCAGAGATGGGCCTAAAGAAGGAGATGGATTTCATTGGATATAATGTCTTGTCGCTCTGTCTGCCTCTTCCAAAAGCTAGAATTGTGAATCCCTCTTCGATGCGAATTGTTGGATTGCCCGAGAGGTCGAATTTCAAAGGGGGCGGTACATCCTCCCGGTCTCCACAGACGACATCATAGCATGTGAAAATCCCTGATAACGATAAGAAGGCCAAAAGAAAACACTTTCACATGCTTTACCGCAAGCCAGCTTTCAGAACAGCCATGCCCAACCCAGATTGTGCTGCTGATCGCCACAAAGCGAGTATGACATTGCATTGAACTTGATATCATTTCAACAGAAAAAAAACTACCGATTCTATGCATGTTCAGAAGAAACGCAGACCACAAATTTCTATCAAGGATAAATTCGGAGTTGGGGGAAATACACAACAGCGGATGCTGGCGACCAAAAAAAGGGCCGTGATTATCGCTTGCTCATATGAGTTGGGGGTTGCTGGATTGTTGTGGTGCTGTCGAATAGGATCCTCAGAGGACTTGGATGCCGCCGGATGGGTGGGCGATCGGATCTTGTTGAGTGTGCCGGTAGTTATCGGGGTATCAAATGCTGGGGTTGGTCAAGGTTGGTTGAATTGTACATGACTGGAGAGCCTGCGCTCCCAACGGTGGAGGCGCCGGAACAGGGCAGACCGGGTGCAGTCGATGGCGGTGCACTTATTTGCTGGTCTTCTCGCTGACAACCTCCTTGGCCTGTTCCTTCTTGCCCTGGAGAAAAGAGCTGATCCACTTGAGGACATCGGAGCTCATAATGAGGGAGGTGGTGATGACTGCCTTGCCGCCCGCCACGTAACCCTCCCCTCCGCACTTTTTGTATTCGTCCTTGTAAGTAGCGAGAGCCCAGTCCTTGGTGGTGTTTGCGGTCTCGAGTGGCCAGTGGATGTAGCTCATAACCTTGTCTTGGATGTCCTTGGTGTCGGCCTTGACAATGGGCACCTGCTCATCGAATTTGGTGAGGAACTTGTCACCGAGCTCATCAGCCTTGGCGACATAGGGTTTTGCGTAGGAGGCGGGCGTCTGGAAGTAGGGGAGGGTGGGTTTGACGAATTTGGTGTAGCCAGCATTGGTCAGCTCGATCGACTTGACACCGTAGGGATTCTGCTGGATGGTTTTGATTGAGTCTGAAACGAGGGGATAGGATTGTATATGCTGGGTACAACAGGCGATTAGCGGACGCACGATACAGAGGAGAGGTGCGGCAGGGTCACCTACCGAGAGGAAGGCAGAATGCGGCATGTCGCCATTGACTGTAGCTTCACCCATGGTGTGTTGGTTGACTGTTGAGGAGGCTGTACTTGATCAGTTATGCTCAGAGACAGAAACGACAATACGTAGACTACACAGCAGCAGTGAAGACGTCGAAAGGGGAAGCAGTCCAGCTACTCAGGGTTTCCTTTTGTTGAGAAAGGTGGGCGGAGATCGGTGGTGCGGTGCTGGGGGGAATTTGCTGCAGGAACCCAAGGCCCGATACTCACCGGATGATGTGGAGATAGCAACCAAGTCCAGGTCAATGCAGTTCCGTTACGGGACAGAGCCTGAGGGAGGAAGAAGGAAGAACAAGGATGGGAACTGAAAAGGTCAGTCGGAGCAGGGAGTGAGAGGAATAATATGCTGAATGTGACCTGGACCAAGTAGGTGGCTATAGCATTGCCTGTGGCATGCCTGGTTTCTTGTTGAGCTGCTGCTGGGGCCGCTGGCCATTAGCCATTAGCCAGTAGGCCGATCAAGAGCAACCCAATACAGAGGTGGCCAGGGAGATGATTTCATGCCTTCAGGACTGTGCATTGGTTCAGTGGCCCGACAAAGTGGACTGAAGCCGCAACGTGTGTCACCACCGCCAAGTCTAGCATGTGAAAGTCGCAGTCTGCAGTCTCCGAACCACCCACTGCACCTCCGACTGCGTCTCTCCTCCTCCTCCTCCTCCTCCTCTTCTTCTTCTTCTTCTTCCTCCTCCTCATCCTCATCATCCTCATCCTCCCGCTGCTCTTCTCCAGCTGCTACTGCTACTGCTACGCCCGCAACACGTTATCCATTTATCGACTCTCCCGGATCCTGGATGAATAATACTATGGATCGATATTTGGGTGCATGTGGAACGGTGCACAGCACTGGCAAGACCAACTGACCACGGCTAAACCACTAAACCATCCTTCGCTTCTCCCGCTTCCGACTTGTCGTCTTATCCTCTTTTGTCTCTGGTCATGTCTGCTAACTTCCTCCCCCTGCAGTCCCCATGTTCGTGGAAGCTCCTTCACCCTCCCAACCAATCGCGATATTTACCTCGCCACATCCCATCACATTGTCGGTGGCTTCACACCACCTTCGAGAATCCGGATCGGCTGCCTGGAACGCCTCGTCGATTGTGGCAATGACATATCTCTCCTGATGCTTGAAACATTATGCCGACCTCGGTCTGGTGTGTTTACTACACGGCTAACTGGGAACATCGATGCTTGTTTCCGTCCTTATCAGACAAAGGAGAAGGAGGTGGGATGACAATCTGCGTTTCGCGGCGAGTTAGCATTCTCTAGTCCATATCCTTGCAGCCTGTTGTAACAAGTAGAGCCTACGACCCCTCTCCTCCGCACAATCTTTGTCTGACCCGTCCCGCTTCATGCATCAACGATCCTTTTTCCCGGGGTAAGCACTGTGTTGGGAAACATAACCTTGAATGACCGGCATTTTGACGAGGTACTTGTAGACACACGTTGCTGCCTCGTTCCGAGCGATGTGTAGGTAATCGGATTGCGACGCCCGGGGACCGCATTTGAGAAAAATAAATCACGCTTCCTGTGTCTGATCAAACAACAGCCTGGGCCGAACGGCAATCAATGTGACGAGCATGTCAGAGAAATTGCGACCTGCATGCATGATGCATTTTTACTTTTTTCGTTTCTTGCATGTGAAAATGGGCCCGGCGGGTTGTGGGTTTCCTGCGGGTTCTAAAAACGGCCTTGCATATGTAGGTATGTACTACTAGGAGGTAACAAGTATGCATGTGGGTATGATATGGAGGGCCTCACAGAGTGTGTACCGAGTATATATCTCTCTTCTCCCCCCTGCCCTCTGTCGTTTCCGGTAACGGTAATAATCTAGATCGATCTATATTCCGAAGCTTCATCACTTCACCAAAGCGACAACAGCCGACACGGCAATCCCCGAGGTTGGCTTCCCCCGTCACCGCGAGCACGGCCGACGGGAATGTAAACATATGTACCGAGCAAACACCCACGTGCCGAGTATATCTACTTAGTAACACACGCCACCAAAGTGACCATCGACATTGGCCATACAGCAAGTAGCTAGCTACGTGCACGATCTGCGTGGTACTGGGCAGTTGGACCCTGGGCCCTAGGGCCTGGACGAGGACGAGACATGTATACAAGTACAACGTAGCAGACAGATAGACATGTGGCTCATGCGTGAAAACTGTTCGGATCGAAGGGCGCTAAGCATGTGCATCGTGCATCGTGCATTTCAATCACAGAAATGAGAATGAATGGCACATGTCACTCACTGTCAGGCCCCTCGACCGATTCATCCTACCTATCCTACCTATCCTGCGTAATATCGCCTCTTTGTGTCCAATCTTTTGGGCTTGGTGCTTAGTGGCTGTGATAATACTCCGCACCCGTGTCGCTGGAATGGACGGACTGGGGAACATAGAATGCTCAACAATTTCTCTAGGGAAAAGCTCACTTTTGGTCCACCTAGTGTACAGGACGGGCCAAGGACGGCAATGTCTGATTGACAAGCTTTGCCGTGCCCTTTGTTCACCGGCTCACGTCACCTATCTTCTCCAATGCCAATGTCGCCTGTGCTTGGTCACCCTGTATCCCTGACCCCCGCCCCATGCAATGCAATGCTGTGCTACCAACTCAGGGTGTGTATTCGTACATCTGACTGAGGAATCGCAGGCCAAGCGAGATATGCTCTGGAGTGTTCCATCTTTTGCCTGTAACCTTGCGTCGCCTTTCAAAATGACCGACTCCATTCTCATCTTCTTATCATCTGCCCCATCCACACGTCCCATGCACCTCCACGTCGAATCCGTCTTCGGCATGGCTGATATGCCATGCCCTTTCCCCGACAAGATCGCATGATGACGTCGAGCTTTTCAATTTTGGATCGTCTCAAACCCCGCAGGAACTTTCCAGCCGTGGTTACGACACGCACGGAGGTACGCTACAATGGCCTCTCCAATACCATAGTCAGAGCCAGGTGGATGGGCAAGCCTCGCAGGGCGCTCTGTATCACAGATAACTAGCCGCACTTGAAGCAGGAGGCTTTCAACTGAGAGGCTTGCGGACCATCCGTTGTTTGTCAACACCTCCATGCACATTGCACCTCCCTCGGTGACGTTCCCACCTCCGCCTCGGTTGAAGGGTAGGAAGCGAGGCTTGACCACTCGAATGAACGGGGGACTGAAAGGATACTGGCTGGTGAATCGCATCTCCATGACAATGACGTCACTCCCGCATCTTTCATGTCCTTGGCCAAGGGCAAATCCTTTGGAAAGCTGTGGAGCTCCACGATCCATTGATACACGTTGCTGATCAAGTTGCGGCCGATGTACCATCCGAGTGTGGCCGGCGGGGTGCTTTCCTGCGTCTTCAGAGCGTCTCTGAATAGACCCATGAGCGCCGTACTGGCTATCGGCGTAGCGTCCTGAGGCGCTTCCATACACGTGATATCCCTGATGTCCAATTTGCCAGGTACAAAATCTGTATCTAATGCTGCCTCTGCCGGCCGCTTTTTGCCACTGGCGCACAGGCTTTCAGCAGTAGCATCAGATTCATGAAGCCCGAGATCATACTTCTGATCTGCATCTTGAAGCAGGGCCAAATCATCCGCATCCGACACTACACTGTCGCCATCGTCTTCTCGTTGCTCGGCCGTCGCCAGGTCCGTTGTCACAATCCTCTTGGTACGCTTCCCGCGAGGGGTCGCGGCCGATTCGATGCTGTTTCCAGGTCGTCGAGCTTTGGAAATAGCAGTCATTGGAATTGACAGTACCTCACACGCTTCGTTGTAAGCCCGTCGGTTTGGATCCTGCTCATAGATTTCAACTGCCAGGTCGCGACGAATGGGTGCATCCTTGGTCTTAATGAATAGATATCGCGTCTGAATCCAGTCAACCTTAGGCACCACATAATGCGGCACGGTGGACGTGAATTGCTCAGGGTCATTCACCACCTCTTGCAGGGAAAGCACCTTCTCAATTTTGAGCAAAGAACCTTGCCAGCTGCAATTGCTGTGAACAACCTCGTACGTATACCCCAAGCTTGTGGACGCATGCGGGCTCATGTAGACCCCATTCCCATATGATCTGCCGTGGAGGATGTCATCATATTGGAGGCCCTGTCGGATGATTGAATGCCAATTACCCATTGGACTTCCGTGCCATGCAAAAAGAGTCGGATATTTGGTTCTAGTGGCTCGAGCATGCCGCTCTACGCTTTGGTTGAACCGCTTTTCTTTGTCCGGAGCCCCTTGAGCGAAGCGAAATTGGATCCAAGACGCCATTCCTCCAACACGGTCTTCAGCCTTTCCACGGATTTCGCAGCCAGTCTTGCCGTCGATGTCGTCGACCTGGAAGATGCAAGACCTATTGGACGCGACAATCCAACGGAGAAGATTCACTGTTGACTCTGGAATCCGGTCAGACCATGCTTTCAAGCTGAACTCGTGACTCTTTCCTTGGCCCCCCAGATATTGATGCATCTCTATCACGTCTGGAAGGGCATCTAACAATGTCATAATAGCACCCTGCTGGTGTTCTTTAACGAGGTTATCAAAGTTCTTGTCGTACAGGTAGCATTCTGCGTTGAGGAAGTCGCCGTTCTCATTAGCATCTTTTGTGGCACAGCCGAAAATCCTGCAATGTTCTGGTAATGGAACCGACACTGGTTCATGGAGCCAAACGTCAGGCAGGTCGACTCTCATAACCCGGCAATGGGCTGCTGCGCCAGCCTGGCGACAGAGGAGGACAATCCAGTCACCAGACTTGAGATTCTTAACTGCTGATTCCTTCTTTTCGTCATCTGCGACCACCAAGCACCTCAAGCTCATACTCCACAAGCATGCAAAGGACTTTCTGACGTAGGAGACCTCACTGAAACGCGGTATGACGGGCACCATCAAGTTCATGCCAATGGGGAATTCTTTGATTCTGCCACTACGAGCAGCTGCGTAGCAAAAGCTGACCAAAAGGTCGACAACGTATGGTTGGGCCATGATTTCCCATTCCAGGCTAGGACCAAAGCCAAGCGACATGTATTGGTAGAGGCAGAGGGGCTTCAAGCAGACGTATGGTTTCAAAGCCTCAAAGGCGTCGTCGACTCGGTAATGGCACACGAGACAGAACTCCGTGCATCGGATAAAGTGTCTCAGGGCGAACTGCATGATGATCAGGGGCAACGAAGCCTTCGCAACTCGTTCTTGGCGCATGTGGTCTGCAAGGACTATCGGGGGAAGATTGCTCGCGTTGGCGTCATCACTACAACGATAGGGTGTCATGTCGCCAATGATCGAAGAGGACGATGTCGCTTGTATCTGGTTGATGTATTTTTCTGCGCCCAGCCAGGTGAGATCGTACAGCTGTCGGGCCGAGATGATCTTGAAGACACGCTCTTCAAGCAACTGGTTGATTGCGTTGCCGATGAACAGTCGTTGGAATGCAGGATCATCCTTTGGTATAGTGTCGGCATTCTTATTTGAGGTCACATTGTCCGGCTTTATGTATTGATAGAGAGCCAGGACTTGGGGCAGAGGAGGTTTGTAATGGTCACAAAGTCCCACACGCATATCCATGGAATTCGACAGTTCCTGAGCGTCGGTAACTCTGGTTGCATCACGATAGCCCCCAGTGTATCTGATCAGCAACAGGAAGTAATGCTTTCGCGGTATATTCCAGGCCTGCAGGGCTTCGTCTGAGAGACCAAGCTTGGAAACTCGGATTGAAACACATAGGACGCCAGAGGAGGCGATGTTTCCGAAGACTCCAACGCGGAAACCTGAATTCTTGAGGGTCCTAAGATCAGCACGTATCTTTTCCATCTTCTCTTGGGAACCAGCTGATAAGCTGGTGGCGTGGGCGCGCCCTGCACTGCGGGGGTCAAGTGCAGCCAGACCAAAACATTCATCATCAGAAACACCTTCCAAAGTCAAATCAAAATCATCGTCCGCCATTGCCTGGTCGGCCAGGGTGTTGTCTTGCGCAGACTCCTTTGTAATGGCCGCTGTCAAAAGTTCTGATACTTCAGTCAACAAGTTAGGAAGAGGCTTGCCATGGGCATTTTCGGTGACTTTTTGCAATGTCTCTGTGACGATGGGATCGAGCGAGTTGTCCTTGGTGGATAGTACAAACGAGTTGCCATCTGGATATTCTGCTAGATCGTTGGCAAAAGCTTCGACGTGGACTTGCAAACGGTGACTGTCTGGATAGACATAGTTGAAGGCCACAATGCCATCCTCTGGACTGTGAATACTGCAGATGTTGTCGATCCCTAGGAGGCTGGCTTCGTCCAAGTGACTGAGGAAGAGCTTCCGGCCCATAATGGGCAGAGAAGGGGTCCGTTAGACGGATCCGAACAGTGAGAACTCGGCTTGAGGATCCGATAAGGGGATAGACATGAAATTTACGTAGCTAACAGACTCACCGAGGGAAGAGCAAGATTTGTCTCAGTTTTTCCAGGTAGACATCACCTTGTGAGATGCCGTTAGGGGAGATAGAGGGGAGGGAGAGAGTTGAGAGAAGAGAAAGAAGGGAAAAGGCGCTTGAAGTACGGGCAGGAGAATCAAAAGCGTGTGAAGAATGCTCAAGTGAGGCAGCCCTGCAGTTATCATCGCCAACACAGAGATCGTGGGCCAGGTGATGTCCAGTGAAGTCGAGGGGCCGCAGCGTGTTAAATGCAACCCGCGTTTTCTAGGGTGCAGCGCAAGTATAGCAAATCCAGCGAAGGTGCAAGTCGCCGTAACCTGAATGCTGTGTCTTGTCTCAGTCTTCGCCTTCCATCATAGTTCAAACTGCTCCTCAAGGGCATCAAGGGCAAGTGAGACTGCCATTTTAGTCTTTTCCTACCTGTCGGCAGCCTGCTTTGTGGACGGCCTTCTGCTGGCTTGGTCATTGGTCTCACAACAACAAATTTCCAACCTACTGCATATATATTCTTTGACAATATTTGGAAACTATGAAGAAGAGAGATGGAAGAGCTGGCCAGGAGACGCGTTTTGGAGAAGAACCTGGCCTCGCCAAGGGCAAGTTGGTTGATCGGTGTATAGTTGTTCCGAGCCGACAGCGATGGTCACGACTACGAGGTGACGGGGTGACGAGTCTTGGGAACTTGCTGATGACCTTTCTTTTCATTAGAATTTCCCACAACATTCATTGTCCCCAGCAGAGAAGCATACCGTGTACAACATGACATGTCCTGATCATAATTAATTACTGGAGGAACTTTGAACAATCGACTTAGAAAGTCTAAGGCGAATGGGGCTCAGACGCATTCTTGAATTAGCACAGGACGGCTTGAAGGTGTGAAAACTGGTCACAGCTTGGTCTTCAAGACCGAAATGCCTTCTCGCTTAGACAGCGAGGAGCACAATACGCAAAATGACGACGGCAGTGGATCTATGCTTGCAAAGCTCAGTCAGCCTCAGTTTGACCCCGTCGACTTTCTGAATGACTCGCTACCCAACCTAAATCTGTCATCCCAGACCCAGATCTCAAAATCGGGCCGGTCGACGCAGATTCAAAGTGCCTCTACCGACTCACTTGCGCTACTCTCATCTCTTAACACGATCAGTATTCGTGCCTCCTCGGAATTGACATCCTTAACGGACGAGATCATCCGCAGTGGGAACCGTCTTGCCTATGAAGTAGAAGTCCTTCGTGGTGATGTGAACGGATTCCACGATTTGTTGACCGAGTCGTTGCGAGATGATATCAGTCAATTTGTCAAGAACGACGTGGCTGGCAACGAGCCACCAGTCTTGAGCTCGGTGGGTGACAGTGATGACACTTTGCAAAATGCGGGATCGGAGGACGAGCCGGACTTCATGACTCGACTGCGGCTGCTAGGCAAGGTTAAAGCACGTCTGGAGTCTGTGATTACGGTTTTTGGAGAAGCAATGAAATGGCCGATACCACCCTCCGAGTTGTCCATGGCTTCGTCTCTCATCTCAGTCTCTTCACCTGAACTGGGGATACAGAGTACAGCAGAAGATGACAAGGCACGCGAGGTATTGAAATCTATTCGGGCGGAAATCGACGATCTACTGGGACCAGAGTCGGACGGCTATGCCGGTCTGGAGGCAGCATTTCACAGAATAGAAGAATACAGGCAGTTGGCAATACTTTGGAAGGGCACGGGCGAAGAAAAGGCCAGACTGAAGTTCGTCGATTCGTTAGCCAAAACGGTGGAAGACAGAAGGAAGACGCTGGATGCACAAGGGAGGGCTCGGAATGCGAAAATGGCTAATTCTGCACGGTCAAGCTCCGCCGTGGGCAGAAATCCGAGAAGTTCAACTGAAGGAAGTGGCGGTGCGGCTGGACTGTTCCGGAACCTGCAACGCTTGAAAGATGATTTGTATCTCGAATGAGCTCTGAAGCCCTCGATCGCACTAAAACCAGCAGATCTTCACAATGACATTGAATTGTTTTCATTTGGGCCGCGTTCCCGTCATCCATTGCAGCCCTGCCGGTGCAGAGATCAAGTCAGCTCCAACAAACCTTTGCTGCAGTGGGTTATCTGAAAACCGCCTGAAAATTGGGGCTGGTTAATCGACGTTGCAACCATTCCTGCCTCCCGCAGACCGCACGTCTAAAATCCCCCTGCGGATTGTCGCAAAATGCTTGTTCGCGGACATAAAGCACATTCCCACACTCAGAATCTCAGAGGAGTGAAGAACCATCTGTTCTTGCCGCTCAAGTATCTCTCCTCCAAGGCCTTTTTGACGTTCTTCTTCGCATCTTCTCTCTGTGAAACCTCCTTGAATGTGTCGTTCGAAAGCACGTTCTTCAATCCCTCAAGTTCAAGTGTGTACCGCGTGGGCATGATGTGATTGTAGTTGATCATTTTGATGAAGGGCTTGACCTTTGATCGCTTCTCCATTCGCTTCTTGCCCATGCGGCGAGTGACTTTGGAAGGGTAACGTTCAATGCCTGCGACCAGGGCGTAGGAGAATGGATGCTGTTTTGTGCCGGAGTCTACTGGCTGGATAATGACAACCTTTAGAGAAATTGTCAGGCCTCGGATTCTTTTCACGTCATTGAGTCCGTTCTCTCTTCCATACCTTCTTTCCAGCATACCGGCCTCGAGTGATGATGGCCACGCGGCCGACCTTGAGAACTGTGCTATGCGTCAATATTATCGCAAGCGATACTCCGATGCGACGAAACTTACACTTCATCTTGAGGTCAGACTTTCGCGCTTGAGGTCGTCGTTGAACAGAGCGGGAGAAGATAGGGCTGCAAAATTGCGTGAAGTTCACTTGCCAGGTGCTGAATTACTCAAAAATTAGTCTTGGCGGAGTAGGGTTTTCAAGGTCACGTGTATAAGCGCCAAGTCCAGAAATGAAACAGCGGTCTGACAGTGAAAACTTGGAGAGGAGTGCTCTACCAACGGCAATGTCGTCCCCTATTCGATGGCAGTACTCCGTATACTTACTAACTAGATGACAGGATGTCATTATGGCATTGTTAGTAGATAGTCTCCTGTGTGAATGAGGGCAACTTCTATTCTGATCGTCAACCAGCATTGCCAGCCTCAATTTGTTAGCCGGCCAGGCTGGCGCACACTGCTGTTGTCAGACTATGCCACTTTTCTTTTTGGAGGCGGACACGTGGCACTGCAGTATTCCCTCTAACAAGTACTGCAGAGGCAGGTCAGCCGATTCGTCAATTAGCTTTGTTTACATCTAGATTCGTCTAGCCAATCACAAGAGTACCACTACCCAACGTCAACTTGTGCAAGCAGGCGAGCGCCAAAGTCTCTTACTCTCAATACCATACTAGCATTGTTGAACTTTATGTGCAATCGTGTCTTGTTTCCTTGTTGACTTTGCTGGCTACTGCCGGAGTGAGGGAAGTGCGTTATGAGTACCGGGTACTTTCAGTTTAATTGACGACATTCCTCGCAAAGATTCTCCGCAGATGGCACTGACCATGTCGACCTACTCTACCAGTTCGCGTGATGCTTCGAGAGACCGTGCCGAGTCTCGAATGGTCAAGCATCAACATTCGTTTTCAGAGTCTGGCAGGAGCTCAGTGCCTATGTGAGTCTTCTGCCCGATCAGGATACTCGCAGTAAATACTGACCCATTGTACAGGTGGGATAGCTCAGATCCCGATAGAGCACCTCCACCACTTCCACTGAACCCAGGAGTTCCAGGAAGCCCTCTGACAAGATCTAACACATCGAAACGGATCGACGAAGCCGCCGCTCTGATTGCTGCCAGGGCACGAGAAAATACTCCCAGTGCCTACACCAGTAATCCTCCCCCAACATCGCCAGATAGAAATGTCATACGAGCACAAAATAGGCGAATGCAAAACCTACAGAGTCCGGGCATAAGCAGGCTGAGCGACTCTTTGGAGAGACGATCACCAGACAAAGGTCTTCGCACGGCAAAGTTCGTGGATTTTGAGGATTTTCCCAGCAGCAAAACGACGGAACGCAGTCCAACCAGACCCAGATCAGAGACTCCAACACCGACTGAAAGGAACCCTGCAAGATCAAAAGAGACAGAGAACACACCACCTCCATCAAACATGCTGGCCTTACAGACCATTAGAAATCGGCAGGATGCTACACCGCTAGGTGACATCACGAATGGAACGTCGTCTTCGGTCCCGACGTCCTACTCATTTGATGCCCTGTCAAGTCAGATCCTGAGCTTGACGTCGATCGTCACAAATGTTCAAAAAGAGATGTCGAGTCTGAATAAGAGAAGCAAAGATAACTACGGCGACCTCATGAGTCTCAAGGAGGCGACGACGGCAAGAGACGAAGACATCCGCAAGAGCCTTAGAGAACTTATAGCGGGTCTGGAAAGCAAATTTACAAATCTCGACTCTCGGTTACTTGCTGCTCCCCCAGATGCCAGCAAATCAACGCCCAACTTAGGGATGTATTTCGACGACAAAGCACATAACGGCTCTCCACGCCCCAAGAGTCTCGGGCTGCCGCGCATTGGCAGTCCATCTAGCTTCTCTGCTGCACTTGATCGAGACTTGACGGCGTCTCCTTCCATCACATGTGTTGATGGTGCTGCAAGCATTGCCCTCCTCGAGAAAGTGCTGAGGGAGATGGCCACCCGCGAAGGACAAGACAAAATCATGGGCACTCTTGAAGCAGTAAAGTCACAAGCTCTTGTTCGATCCCAATCAGATGCACCTATTTCAACCGCCTTTGACCCTGCTATGATGTCGAAGCTGGAGGATATCCTCGTGTTCATGAAGGACATGAGAGAGGAATCCGGATCACGTGCGCTGGTGCGATCAAGCGGCAATGATAGTCACAAGGGCCCATCAAACTTAGACCTCTATCTTGAAG